TGGGAGAATCCTTAGGAGAGACTTTTCTCCTGGAGATAGTGTGCTACTATTCAACTCAAGGCTGAAAATCTTTCCAGGAAAGCTGAAATCAAAATGGTCTGGACCTTTCAAAGTTATCAAAGCCTATCCATCCGGGGCAATCATTCTGGAGGCAAATGATGGGAGGCAATTTACTGTCAATGGCCAAAGAGTTAAGCAATATCAAAAAAAAAATGAAAAAGAAAAAAAAAATTAAAAAAAAAAGAGAAAAAAAAAGAAGAACAAGGCTAAATGTCAATGTATATGCTTCTCTCTTTTGTATATTTTTCTTGTACATTAAATTACTCTTTTTACTACCCCTAACTGTTGAAAAAAAAACAAGTGTTGTATAGATATTTGTCAAAAGCTCCTACTCACTTCTTAGTACCTCTTTAAATTTGTTAAATTTATGACAAGTTCATTTCTTTTGTTTCCTCATTAACTCCCTTTGTTCATAAGCCTTTTCCCACAGACCCCATTATAACCCAATGTGAAAAGTCCTAATTGATCTTAATTGTGTTTTGTCTGAAATAAGTTGATAGGAAAATCTTATTTTGCATAATTTTGCATGGTTGAACAAACGAAGCTAGATACCATTTTCACATCACACACTTTGCGTTTGTTAGAGTTAAGGTTTGACCAAAACTTTTCAGATGATATGAAAAATATTTTTATGATTCTCACTACTCTTATTTTGTGACAAGTCAAGGGAATTTGATTGATCAGGTGGAGTGAAAGGAAAGTGTGCATGATTTGAAGGTTATACATATGTTTTGGCAAATTCATTTTTGCTTGCTTGCTTGTGTGAAATGTAAATATTTTTGCTTGAGGACAAGCAAAATCTTAAGTGTGGGGGAGTTGATGCACTCATAATTTACCATATTTATGATCTTGTTTTGTCACACTTTTAATATTTTATTTTTCATTTTTTAAATAAAAAAGGATTGATTTTTATCATCTTGAACATTTTAAGGTATTGCACTTGTTTTGGTATATTTTTGAATTTCAGGATAATTCGGGATGTAAATTGAAATTTTGAAAAGAAATAAAATTACTCCTGAGTGAAGACAGAAAAATCAGCAAAGTGAAGCGGGTCCTTACTTTAACTCTGAAATATTTTATCAAGAGACCCGAAATTACTTCAAAATAAATTAGATTGTCCGCAATAAAATGTACCGGTTAACTGCCGACCAGTTAACTGATCAAACAGTTAACTGGCCAAAATAAAATAAGTGGCGAAAAATGAGCAAGCTCACAACACTATTCACTCATTATTGTGAATAAGGCTCCACCCGTTGAAGAAATCTCAAGAAGAAAACAAAAGGAGATCAAATAATTATATTGCATCCACTTGGAACCAAGGCTGTCTTCTTCATCTTTGATTCGCCGATCAGAAGAGCACAGTGGCAAAAGAAGAAAAAAAAATAACTCAACAGCAGCTGGTACTGTTTGGAGAACGAAATTAAGCAGTGACAATCACATCTCATGAAGGCTGAGGAAATAGAACACCGAAAATTATTGATCAACATCTTCATTTCAGATTTCTCCTTCTCCAGCTGCTATATAAAGGGCCATTTGAGAGCTGCAAAAGACACCAATTCGGAGAGAAATCTTCTTCCTCTTTTCTTTAGCTTTGTTCATAGTAGTAGTCATATAATAAAAGTGATTCTGTCAAGAACACTTTCTGTAAATTTCAGTTCGTAATTTCCATTTCCAGAATTTTAGTTCTTTAATTTCAACAGTCAAGTTCATTTGGAAAGTATCAGCCAGAATCATTCTCAGCTTAAGGATTTCACTTTCTCTATTCCATCTCATTATTTATGCCATCAGGTTCTTATTCAAATACGCATTTTATTTTCTTTAATCTGTTAAATTAATTATGCCTATCATTAGTTTTACTTTTATTTCGTTTACTGTAATTATGTGTAACTAAATTAAGTTTAGGTTTGGGCAAGATGTAATTTTTATTGTTAATGTTCATACGATAATAATTGGTTAAAACTATTACTTGGTTAATTTTAGGAGTGTTGGGTTGAATATTCTAATTTGCTAAATACATTATATTGGGAAATGAATATTATCACGGGAGTGAAGTTTCATTAAAATACTTTTTATTAATTCACCCACTAAATTGCTACACGGAAGTGTTAAGGAATTTAGGATAATTTGATTTTGTACTTTTTACTGTCTTAATAAAATTACTGCGGGAGCGGAATTAATTTAAGATAGTGTAATCAACTAAGTCGTGGGAACGATTAGAAGATTACCATTTGTAAATCTTTCACACATCTAAAAGTAACTAAGTTAATTAGTTAAATCTTTATTCTTATGAATATCAAAATAAAATTACTCTTAGCTCAAGCCTAATTTTCTCTATATCATTAATTGTTAAATTACCAAGTATTGTGATTTATTTTACTCTAGCAATTTCGCATTAACAAAAACAAAAAAAAAACTATTCACTTAGCTCCATTGCAAAATGTTATTAATTTGTGATTAGCTAAAAATCAATCGTTAATTCTAGTTCTCTTGTTGAGCCATTCTCTAGCGGAACGATACTCACTTACTCTATACTATATCGTTACAAGCCAATTAAAACATCATTTCCATTCACATTTTTACACCATTTCACACTACACATTTTGGCATGTCAATCAACTCCATCCATCTCATTTGCCTCATATTCAACTCCTTCTGAGTAAATACATACTTCAAGCTCTTGTGATCCGTGTAGATGTGACATGTCTCCCTGTAGAGATAATGCCTCCAAATCTTTAATGTAAACACTACCGCCCCCAACTCTAAGTCATGGGTAGGGTAGTTCACTTCATCTTTCCTTAATTGCCTAGAAAGCAAAGACAATCACTTTACCGTTTTGCATCAACACACATCCAAGTCCTTGGATGCTAGCATCAATATTGATATCATACCCTATCCCTTGTGTGGTTAGGGCAAGAACTGTTGCCTCGGTAAGTCGTTCCTTTAGCTCAATAAATTCCTTCTCACACTTATCGTCCCATAAGAACTTAGCTCCTTTCTTCGTGAGCTTCGTAAGCGGCGACACCAACACGGAAAATTTCTCAACAAATTTACTATAGTACCCCGCTAAACCAAGGAAACTACGTATCTCTTTCACATTCTTGGGTCGTTCCCAATCAATGATAGCTTCTATCTTTGCATTGTCTACCGCAATGCCAAACCTAGATATGACATGACTGAGAAAGCCAATCTCTTTAAGCCAAACTTCACATATAGAGAACTTGGCAAAGAGTTGCATCTCTCTTAGCCTTTCAAGCACAAGTCTCAAGTGATGCTAATTTTCTTCTTCGTTCTTCAAGTATATCAAGATGTCATCAATGAATACAATCACAAACTGATCTAAGTACTCACTAAACACTCGGTTCATCAAGTCCATGGTAAGGAATAATTGTAATTAGATTTTGATGATGCTATAATAATTAGGATTTTAGAATACCCCCTCTTTACATTTAATGTATTAGAAATTTTCCTTGTAAAGTTTCTTAGATTAGTCGACTGATAGAAGACCTCCTAACAGAGGACCTTTGGCTCTCTGCTTCAGAACAGAAGACCTCTAGGTCTCTGTTAGCTCTTACATGAACAGAAACCCTCCTGGTTCTCTGTTGAACATATCTTCAACAGAAACCCTCAAGACACTCTGATAGCTTTCTCCAACAGAAGTGCTCAAGACCTTCTCTGATCGACTCTCTGTTGAAGACACCAGAAGGCCTGACACTTAGAGAACTTTCCCAAGCCGGTAAACCAACTGAAGATTCCTTCAACGGCTAGGAATCTTGAACAGAAAAGCTACAGTACGCGCATTAAATGCACATTTAATGCCTCCCGTACCCTGTAGAGTAAATGCAGATGATTGGCCGCAATGTCAGGATAGCTTTATCCCAAAATAGTAACCCACCAACTTTGCTGGGTCCTACAGGTCAAGTCAACTGCTCGCACATTTAATGCAGTTGTCCTCCTCCTCCTCCAACGGGAAGACAACCTCAGTATAAAAGATACACTACAAAGAACAACCGGATAAATTTGCTACAACATTTACGAATACAGAAATATTCAAACATTCAAACGCACAAGCCTCCTCGAGATCAAATCTTCACCATCTTCTACAAGAGAAGGCAGACGTTGGAAAGATTATCTACTCACATCTTCTCATTTCCAACTCAAGCAAAGTTCCATTCGTTCTTCAACAATTCAAGCCCTTCAACAAATACATCCTTTGTAACGAAGCAAGTTGGAGGAACCCCTGTTTCATCTAGAAACTATTCTCTAACGAGAAGGACGTCCAAGTAACTGGAGCAGTGAAGTGGTGATATTTCCGGGAAGCTCAGCGAAAGGACCAGTCTTAAAGGAAGCCAGGAAGTGCATCCTAGGATACATCTACACTTGAAGAAGACGTGGAGAGTTTCTTAAGTGCTAGGACTAAGGCGTTGTAAATGGACGTTTTTACAAGCTTAGTGGAACAGTGGATTAGAGGAACGAGTTGTTCCTTGAACCACTATAAAAATCTCCGGTGTCATTTACTTACTACATTTATTTATTGCACTTAGTTAGAACTGATTAACTCCAAAGAATTGGTCTCTGTGTTCAGCAGAACGTGTCTTGTGAGTTAACAGAAGGCCTACTTCCTTTGCTTCTCTGAGGCTAATCGAACAGAACCCCTACCAGAACCCCATACGCTGCCAGTTTGTTCTGTCAACAGAACATGCTAATCTGTTAATTCTGGTACATAGCTTGAAAAAGTTAAAAACTAATACAGTCTATTCACCCCCCCCTCTAGACTGTATCCAGTACAACCGGGACCAACAAGTGGTATCAGAGCCTCCTTGTTCTAATAATCTCTTAGGTTATTTCCTGAACAAAGATCCACTTGTTTCCTTTTTGTCTCTGTTTTAATCTCATATTATGGATCACTCTCTTTCAAAGAATCTTATGTTCTCAGATCTTAGGTTTGATGACTGGAGGATCCGGATGAAGGCACATCTCTGTGCCCTTCATGATGAGATGTGGGAAGTATTGGACATTGGGCCATTCACAAGCTTCCAGAAGGTCAACCCTGAGCATGCTATAGATAACACCATACCTCAGATGATCAATAAAGCCAAATCTGAGTGGACTAACGAGGAAAGAAGAAAGTATAATCTGGACAACATTGTAAAAGACATTCTCTACAAGTCCATATATGACAGATACTTCAACAGAATAAAGAAGTGCAAGACTTCCAAGGAAATCTGGGATACTCTTGAGATCATTGGAGCTGGTGATGAGCAAGAGAAAGACAACAAGATGACGATAGCCAACAAGAAGTTTGATGATTTCAAGCTTCTCCCTAGTGAAAGCATCTCCAAAATGTATGACAGGCTCCTCACTCTCACTCGAGAGATCTCTGAGCTTGGCAAGGAACTTACCACCAAGGAGATCAATCTCAAAGTGTTGAGGGGATTGCCCTCAACATGGAAGATGAAAGTGGTTGCTGTCCAAACCAGCAAGGATGTGAAGACTTATCCCACAGACAAGCTCATCTCAGACCTCAAAGCTCATGAGTTCGAGATGATTGAAGAGAAGGAGGATATACCATAAGAAAGGACAACTACAACTCTCACAGCTAGTACATCCAAGGTAAATGATTTTGACCCTTCAATTCTTTTATCTGACGAATATATAACTGCTTTTGCTAGCAGATTCAAGAAGTTTATGAAGAATCCCAAAGATGGAAGAAGTCCATCTTCCAGCAGAAAGCCATTCCAGAAACCCAAAGCAACAGAGAGCAGTGGTGAGCTTCTCTGTTACAACTGCAGACAACCTGGGCATTTCAAGTCTGATTGTCCACATCCAAGAGTGTCCATGAGACAAGGGCATGATGGAGAAAAGAAGAAATTTGAATACAATACCAGAAGGAGGAAAGCACTTGTCAAAGAACAACTTGAGAAAGACCCCCTCTCTGAGACAGAATCCAGTTCTGACTCTAATTCTGATGAGGCCTTCTGTTGCCTTGATACCGAGACAGAAGACCTATGCCTCATGGCTCATTCTGATGACGAGGTAACCTGTACTTCTAGATCTAGCTTTTCTACGGTAGGCTTAGCTTTTGATTCTGATTCAATGTCAGAATTTTGGGAAGAGTTTAAGGTCATCCAAGCCACTTATTCCTCTGTTACAGAAGAAAACAGTAAGCTGAAGGCAGAGATTCTTGATTTAAGAAAGGAGGTTGAGATCAAAATCAATCTTCTAATTAAGGAGAGAGATCGGCTGGAAGCTGAAAATGTTTCTCTTCTCAAGAGAATAAGAGAAATTGAACCTCTTGAGATTAAGTACAAAGCTTACTAGAAGGCCCAGTCTTCCATAGAAAAGATTGTGCTTGATCAACAGATTGGCATTGGATTTGGTCTTGGATATGGCTCAACAGAATCAGGTGAGCCTTCTGTAATGCCTAGCACCAGTGTTGCTAAGGCAGATAAAGTCATAGTGCCACTGATCTGTAGCCCCATCTGCCAAGCTGGTGTATCTGGCACCAAAGTTATTCATGAGGAAGTCAGACCAGAAAAAGGAAAGATAAAGGTTCAACAGAAACCCCTTTTGAAAATCAATGAACCTGGAAGAAAACCTAACAACAGAAAGAGTTTTCAGAATAACAAAAATCAAAGACAAGCTGTTAACAGACAACCTCATGATAACAATGCCAGAAATGATCACCAGAAGGGCAGATATCAAGAGAAAGTTAACTTTAGACAGAACAGGTTGGCTGGTCAACTTCAGAAGCCCAAAGCTAACCGCCCCTCTGCTCTTGATAGTATATGGGACTTCTTTCCAACAAAGAAAGCTATACAAAAGTACGTAAACAGGAAGCATGACCCTCACAGGCATCTGCCCAAAGTGAATCACACTTCAGTTTACTATAACTACCGGGTGGACAATGGGTACCACCCACCAAGGTTTCACTTGATGAGACCAAAATGGTACCAACTACCCAGACTCCATGACCCCCAGGACCCAACATTGCTTGGGTACCTAAATCTTTCTTTTGATCATGCAGGAACTGTGTGCTGGAGCTATCTCAGAGCAAGAATGGTTTATTGATAGTGGATGCTCCAGGCACATGACAGGTGACAGAAGTTGCCTAACAGAGTTCCAGAAATGCAAAGGAACTAGAGTTACCTTTGGAGGTAATGACAAAGAAGGTCAAACAAAAGGAAGAGGGAAGCTGATCAAGAACCAGATAGTCATTGATGATGTCTCATATGTCAAAGGCCTGAAGTTCAACTTGCTGAGTGCTAGCCAATTCTGTGACAAAGGCCACACTGTTGAATTCACAAAGGACTTCTGCTATGTGAAGCATGAGACAACAAAGGAAGTGGTTCTTACAGCATCAAGGAAGAAGAACATCTATGTGGTTGATTGGAAAACTGCAAAAGATGGAGTATGCATGATAGCCAAAGGAGATTCAAAACTGAGCTGGGACTGGCACAAGAAGCTTAGCCATTTGAACTTCAAAACAATCAACAAACTGGCAAGAGAACACATTGTAGAAGGGCTGCCAGACATAGTTTACAAGAAAGAGACCCTCTGCGGTGCATGCCAGAAGGGAAAGCAACAGAAGAACTCTTTCAAACCCATTGCTGGAGATCTTTCTACAAGTCCTTTAAATCTGATCCACATGGATTTATTTGGACCTCTTGAGACTCCAAGTGTTGGTGGCAAGAAGTACACCCTAGTCATGGTTGATGACTACTCCAGATATACATCGACTATCTTATTGTCAAAGAAAAATGAAACTCTTCAGAAGTTGCCATCTCTATTAAAGCAACTTCAGACTTAGAAGAATATGAAAGTCAGGACAATCAGGTCTGACAGAGGAACTGAATTTGTCAACCAAGTCATTAAGGACTTCTGTGACCAGAATGGAACCTTTCATCAACTCTCTGCCGCCAGAACACCTCAACAGAATGGCGTAGCAGAAAGGAGAAACAGAACGTTGAAAGAAGCTGCAAGGATAATGATTGCAGAATCTGGACTACCTATGAGATACTGGGTTGAAGCAATCAACACTGCATGCTACACCCAGAACAGAGGTATGATCAACAAGAATCACTAGAAGACCCCTTATGAACTTTGGAAAGGAAGAAAACCTAACATCAGCTACTTTCATGTATTTGGATGCAAATTCTACATTCTCAACAATGGAAAGGAGCATCTGAAAGTCTTTCAAGAGAAAGCTGATGAAGGGGTATTCATAGGCTATTCAAGCACCAGCAAAGCCTATAGAGTACTCAACAGAAGAACTCTACATGTTGAAGAATCTATACATGTAAAGTTTGATGATAACATCTCTGTTGAAGAAGTAACAGAGACCCTCAAAGAAGTCAACATAGAAGATAGAACACATGAACCAACAGATATGGTAGCAGTTAATCCTGCGTTTCCTACACATGCACCAAACCCCCTTCTGTTGGATGATGATGAAGATTCAGAGGAAGAAGAAGAACTAGAGAGACCCAGACAACAACTGACAGAACCTGATCTGACATGGTTAAGGGATCATCCTCCTAACCAAGTGATTGGACAAATCAGAAGTGGTGTGCAGACTAGATCTGCTACCACAAGAAGAGAAGCAATGCTTGCCTGCTACATATCTGAGATAGAACCTATGTCTGTAGAAGAAGCTCTTGCAGAATCAGATTGGATCAATGCAATGAAGAAGAGCTCACTCAATTTGAAATAAACAAAGTATGGGAACTTGTTCCTAGACCAAAGCACTAGAACGTGATTGGAACCAAATGGGTATTCAAGAACAAAGCTCATGAAGATGGCAACATTGTAAGGAATAAAGCAAGGCTGGTAGCTAAGGGATACTGCCAAGAAGAAGGAATAGATTTTGATGAGACTTTTGCACCAGTGGCCAGACTGGAAGCCATCAGAATATTCCTAGCCTATGCTGCCTACAACAACATCAAGGTCTACCAGATGGATGTCAAGAGTGCATTTCTGAATGGAGATCTTGAAGAAGAAGTTTATGTGGAACAACCACCAGGTTTTGTCATTCCTACTCAATCCTCCTGTGTCTACAAGCTTAGAAAGGACCTTTATGGTCTTAAGCAAGCTCCCAGAGCATGGTATGACACACTGTCCCTATTCCTAGTAAACCATGGGTTTACCAAGGGAAAGGTTGACAAAACTCTATTTCAAATCTCTGTTGATAATCATATTCTGCTAGTGCAAATATATGTTGATGATATTATATTTGGAAGTACTAATGCAGAATTATGTAAGAAATTTTCTCAAGTGATGCAGAGTCAATTTGAAATGAGTGTGATGGGAGAACTAAGCTACTTTCTAGGACTGCAAGTCAAACAAGTTCCAGAAGGAATCTTTATCAATCAAGGGAAGTATATCAGAGACCTGATCAAGAAATTTGGAGTAGAAGGCAAATCCTCAGTGAAGATTCCCATGAACACTTCTCAAGGAATTGGTCCGGATGATGAAGGCAAAGATGTTGATGCAACAACCTATAGAGGAATCATTGGATCTCTTCTCTATCTCACCGCAAGCAGACCGAACATCTCATTCTCTGTTGGAATCTGTGCCAGATACCAATCAAAGCCCAAGGAGAGCCATCTAAGTGCTGCAAAAAGAATTATCAGATACATCGAAGGAAATCCAAATGCAGGCCTATGGTATCCCAAGGTAGGTAACTTTGAACTAATTGGTTACTCTGACTCAGATTTTGCAGGTTGTAGGTTAGACAGGAAGAGCACCTCTGGTCACTGCCAGCTGCTAGGTGGGAGACTTGTCTCCTGGTTTAGCAAGAAGCAGAACTCTATCTCAACCAGTACAGCAGAAGCTGAATATATTGCAGCTGGGAGTTATATTGCTCAGCTACTCTGGATTAAGCAACAACTGAAGGATTATGGCATTCAAGCAAAGGAGATCAAGCTTCTCTGTGACAACACCAGTGCCATTGCCATCTCTCAGAATCCAGTTCTTCACTCCAGGACAAAGCACATTGAGATCAGACATCACTTCATGAGAGATCATGTTGAAAAGAAGCACATATGCATGGAGCATGTGTCAACAGAAGACCAGCTGGCAGATATCTTAACCAAGCCTTTGCCTGAGGCTAGGTTCAACAAACTGAGAGAAGAATTGGGAATGCTGGTTGAAATTCCAAGAGAAAGTTGAAAAGGAAGATCTTCTGTTACAGATTCTCTGTTGACAGAACACCTGTTGCAGAACCCCTTCTGTTCTCTACTTTGAACAGAGAACGTCCGTTCCTAACAGAACACCTCAACAACAGAAACTCTCTCTATCTCTGACAGAAGGTTGTGGACTTAGAGATATTTTTGATGAAACGGATGACCTGCAATCTTAATGAAGGTCTATTACCTTTTTACCCTTAAAACGGTATTACATCCGCAAAATATTTACAGCACCCCCATTTTCATTTATTGGTACCTCAGAACCGCCAATAATCTCAAACGTCCACTAACCCGAACCCATATATTCCCGTCTCTCAAACCTAAACTATTACTGTTCTCAATATTCTCAAACTCTCAAACCTCCATAGCTTTCAAGCTTTCAGAAACTTTCTCTCTGCTCTAATGGTGGTTATCAGCCTCGACTCGCTTCCAAAGGCTCAACAGGAAACTCTGACAAAAAATGTGTTCACCAGGATGAAGTGCGACCTCTATGCACTTCCAAAACTGGCGGAAGATGAGGAACTCATGGGGAGGATTCTAGAGTGTATTAACGACTCCCAACTGAGCAAGGTAATCACCTACAACTATACTCAGTACAGTACTGTTGATGTGGTTGAGTTTTATCTCAACGCTGACTACGAAGGCGAGATCATCACCTCCACAGTGAAGGGAGAGAAAGTCACCGTTGATGCTGGGGCCATCAACAGTCTTTTCAAAATCTTGGTAGACAATGAATCAAACGGTCTCTTTGACCTAAAAGACGCTGACCTCACTGTTGAGGAATTTGCCATGAACTATGGCAGTCCAGGAGCCACTATTCCCAAGCTAACCGGAAAGAAGCACTCCTTGAAGAGGGACATTGAGCTGATGGTAAACATCCTCCACAGGTGTGTATGGTGTAGATACACATCCACTGACGAATTCACCATCACTCAAGCCAAAGCCATCTATGTTGTGCTACACAAGGCAAACATCAACTGGGGATAGGTCATTTTTAGATCAATGATTGAGTTCGTCAAGGTGGCCAAGAGGAAGAACAAAGACACTGGCATCTACTCTGGGAAAGTAGGACATGCCCTCCTCATCTCTGAGCTGTTGATCAAAAGAGTTGGGCTCCGGAAGCCAATCATGGTGGATCACTCTAAGGTGATTTTCATGTCTACCACAAGCAACAGAGAAGCTGCTATAAGAGCTGAAATCAAAAGGTTAGCCAAGTTGGACCTTAACAGGCAAAAGCTCCAACAGAGACCCTCCCAACAGAACACCTCCACCAATTCTGAGGAAGAACCCTTGGTGAGGAAAAGTGTGAAGGAAGCAGTTGTTAAGAAAGCTGCACCGGAGAAGGTCAAGAAGGTATTGACCAGGAAACCTAACCCCAAGAAGAAGAAATCCTCTCCAGAGTCCAGATCATCTACCCCTTCTGCACCCCCGGTCTCTAAGAAACAGAAGGTCAGAACTCCTATCCCTAAGACTGCCCCAGAAACTCAGGGGGAACAAGAAGAACCTGCCTCACCCATTCTAGCCAAGAACCCTCTCTGGCAAGGGAAGAAGATTACCTTTGAGTCTAGTGACTCTGAGGACGAGTCAGTGGTGAAGGATGCCATAACTCAGGGGGAACCCCAGACCTCTGTGCCTGAACAACAACAGAACGCCTCTCCGGACACAGAACCTGAGATGGACTACCGAGTTGCCCTGGACAAGCAATTCGAAAGAGTGTTAGCTTGGAGGAGATGGAGGATGGGACCTCTACAGAAGATCATTCAGTACTTCAACCATTATGAGTCTGAGGAAGCTGAGGTACTCAACTGGGTAGGCACTGATGATGTATCTAAATATTTTGCCATGAACTTTCTCATTTCTGTTCTTGAGAAAAAGAAGGCCAACTATAAGGGCAAGGATGTCCTCATTTCTACTCCCCCAGAAGAGCCAGTGAAACCTCTTGCAGATAATGAGATTGATGCGTTTGAGACCTGGTTATTTGCAAAGAAGGCAAGGGAATCTGTGGACCCTAACTTTGTCACTGGGGAGTATTCTACACCTAAGGATGAAGGCACTGCAATGATGGACCTCATCTGTGAATGGCGATCATCTCTGGTGGAAGACCACGTCCTTGAGGTAATGCCTTCCTCTCCTTCTGTACCTATTCCTTCAGAACCCCTTATTCATATTTCTCCCAAATCCCCTTCTATGCAAAAACTCCCAACACCACATCAGAGCACCCCCTCACCCCAACAGAAAACCCCATCTGCACAGGAAAACCCCCACTCCCCAAAAATCCTCAACCTCCAAATCCAAACCCTCTTTACCTTGCAAATAGTTTACCTCAACAAAGAACAGATCTCCTACTCCTCCCCCATCACCTCAACGCCAGATTATTCCAACCCAACCTCAACAGATTACCTCTTCATCTCAACCATCTCAACAGAAATCCCCTTCACCTCAAAAGTCTAAGCACCATAATGCCAAAACTGTTTCTCCTCCACCACAGCAACCCCCAACTCAGCAAAAACCAATCTGGTACCTGAGATCCTCTGACCCTACAACCGTCTCTCC